CAAAGATGTCGCTCCTGAACAAAATGCCAAGTATTATAAAAGCTTTAAAGACTTGGTATCAAGACTGAAGGCCTTGAAATCAATTAAAGCTAAGATTGGACTCTAGAAGAACTGAGCGATAGGATTGTGCTAAAGAAAGTCTCTACTGCTCTACTACCTGAACTTCAGATAATGATCGATGACAGCTTGGCCTTCACTATCTCTGTGTCTGGATGGCTACTGCCTGACGATCATGAACTTTATATGAAAACGTTGAGATCTGTAAGGAATATTACAGTATCTGAACTTGTTAAGAGTACAGAAGTGTTGTTTGTTTGCCCTGGTGTTAAGCTAACTGCTTCTTTCAGTGAATTAAGACACTATGTTATTTCAAAGCCAAGTGATCCCTTGTTTGATTCTGGTGATGGTGAAGATTCATTCCCATGCAAAGAGTTTTGGAGAACTTGTAATTGTTCTGTTTTGTGCAAAACAGATGATCAGTGTCCAAGCTGTAGTAGTTTTCAACATAAGCAAACACTTTCTGACAATGCAAAATGCCGAAAACTAGCTGAACCAGCACATCTGTTTGCACCTGTTATAAAAATATCTCCTCAAAGAATTAAGGCGACATTACAACTTCAAAGACTTAAATGTGCTGAACGTGAAAAGCACCTTTATAACATGAGATGTGAAATCCAGAAATCCAGTCTTAAAGTTGATGATGAACTGAGTAGGGACATAACTTCGATACTCAGCAATTCAAGTGAGAATATCACTCCATTTATGAATCTCTTTTGGCAGGAACAAAAAAAGATCTTATCTGCCAGTACCACTGGATTGAAGTATCATCTTATGATAGTTCGCTTTTGTTTATCACCTGCTGCAAAATCCCCTTCTTGTTATGAGGAGTTGCGCAAGAGTAATATCTTAAGGCTGTCAAGCCAAAGAACACTAAGAGACTATAAGGAACTGTATTCACCCACGCACTGGATTCCATGAGGATGCCATTGAGGAGCTAATTGTACAGTCACAGAGCTATTTTGATGTCCAAAGATATGTGGTGTTGCTCTTTCACGAAATGAAGATCACCTCAAACCTGGCTTTTGACAAATTCACCGGAGAATTAATTGGCTTTGTTGATCTCGGAGATCCTGATGTCAACTTTGCAAGCCTAGAAAAAGCTGATCATTTTGCCAGCCATGCATTAGTTTTCATGGTACGAGGTGTGTGCACAGAGCTCAAATTCAGTTTAGCTTATTTTGCTACAGATGGTATCACATGATACCAACTAATGCCGCTCTTCTGGGAGGCTATTGGCATCCTTGAGATGTCATGTAACCTATGGGTCATTGCAAGCACTTCCGACGGGGCATCACCGAACAGGAGGTTCTTCCGAATGCACAAAGTTCTAGATGACAATGCTGACGGTGATGTGTGCTACCGCACTATCAACTTTTATGCCAAACACCGCTTCATCTATTTCTTATCAGATGCTCCTCGCCTAGTGAAAACAACACATAACTGCCTCTACAGTTCTGGCCATGGATCATGTACCAGGTAAGATGTCTTAAAATCATAAATGGGCATTGAAATCTGTGTACTTTTAAGTACACAGATATTAAAAAAGACACTAAAATGTCTTTGCTTATTTTGCAAATCAATTCATTAATGTTTCTTATGGTGCATTTATAATGACAATCCTCACAATATATTTCCTTGTCAGCATTAGCTGTTTGTCTGCTTTTTTGGTTTTGTTATTGTTATTGTTTTGTTTTTGTTAAACATGTAATTGCAGTAATGAAATAATACAATAATAGAAATTTAATGTATTTCTAATTTTGATTTATTTTTATTTTTTAGGTACATGTGGAATGATGGTCATTTTATTCTTTGGTAGCACATAGCTCACCTATTTTGCCAAGATGTAGAAAATGGGTTGAACTTGCTACCGAGAATAACCTACGATCATATTAAGTTAAATTCCTATTCCACCATGAGGGTTAAGATGGCAGCCCAAGTACTAAGTGCATCAGTAGCAGCAGTGTTAAGGGAGTTTGGAACTCCAGAGATGCAAGCAACAGCCAAATTGTGTAGCATGATCGATTCCTTGTTCGATTGCCTCAATGTGAGAAGTACGAAAGAGCACGAGAGAAAGAGGAAACCATTTTTGGCACCATATACATCACAGAATGATGCCCGATTCACTTGGCTAGAAAGTGATTTCCTTGGCTATCTAAGGGATTGGAAAGAAAGCATAACAAACCGACCTGGGAATTTTTTAAAAAATGCTCAAAGCCGTATCCTGGCAGACCTACGAAGGTTTACAAATTACAGCCCACTCTGCTGTAGAAGCAACAAACTTCCTCCTGGAGAAGGTATGGAATATGTACTTACAGAGAGATTTTAGATACATATGATGCACGATCTTCGCACAGGCCTGATTTTTTCAGGTCTGATTTTCGCTATTGCATAAATAGCGCACTCTACTGCGAGGATCGTGCATCATACGTATTGTTACTATTGTTATTGTTATTTATAATTATTATTATCATTATTGGTCTTGTATAATGCTAAGAATTAAAATGTAAGATCATCACACTCCAGCTGAGCAAAACAGGTAGTATCTTCAGTATATGAACAAAGTATAATTATTAATGGAAAGTATTGTTGAGATTTTTTGTTTTTATTTATTCTCCACTTGTACGAGAGTTTTACCAAGACTACCCTTCACAGTTTTGTGACGTTGAGCAGCACTACCAAATTTGGACTAGGGCAACCAAATAAGGTAGTGAGCACGTGCGTGTGTGAAAAATAACAAGAAGGTTGTGAGAGCGAGAGTTTATGGAAAGTTTTTCCATCGAATTTAGTGAGAGTTACGTGAATTAGATTGAAGCGGAATAAACCAGGAAACTGTGTTATTGTGAGTTCTATGGGCTGTTTTATTGCTCGGCTCACATGGAAGCTCTGTGCTCAGGCGAGAGTGGTGTTTCAGCTCTTGAAGAGTGTAACGATTCGTACTCGATCGAGGCTTCCCTTTTCCGTTTACCGTTTAGCAGGCGTGCTTGCTAAGAGACGGTTGAAATACCTCCACGGCTGACTCTTCTATTCTAGTAGCTCGGCTCTCAAAGCTTTCTCCAGTAACTGATGTTTCTATCAAAAGCTCTTCGGCGAGACTTGAAAGAATCGAGAGTGACAGAGGCTCTTCTGCAACCGAACTAGAGTAATCCATAATATCCATACGCCTTTATATATTCCTATTCAGAATTTCTTATCGGGTGTGCATATTAACCAATAAACAAACGAAACGGCTTAAATTATCTCAATTCAAAATGGTGGTCGCACATTCTTCTGGGTTTATGCCCGTCAGCTATTTGACGGGCTAATAAATGTCTTCATATATTCATTGTATCTGATTTATCATCACGGGTTTATTACGAATCAACTTAACGGCCTACACCCGGTGGGCTTTTTAGCTCAATTGGTAGAGCGCTGCACTAGCATCACAGAGGTCAGTGGTTCGAATCCCGTACAGACCTGATTTTTCTCAGGTCTGATTTTCGCTATTGCATAAATAGCGCTCTCTGCTGCGAGGATCGTGCATCATACGTGACAAACTTTATGTCCAATGCAAACACCAAAACCGTTAGTGCGACCCCTGCCTAAGTAAAAGCAAGTCGCCAAGGTAATTTCTTTTGTGTGTGTTTTTACTAAAACATTTACTCCACTCAGACTTGCCCGAATATGAGACTTTAAATAACCAACTTGCAGCTTGGCGCCACGTCGACCGGTCAATTATCATCTTATATTCGGCGCTCCATTATAGAACCTCAATCATATGAATAATTGCAGTTTATTTTTCGAAAAAAGACGCCAGCAAGTCACGAGAAATGGCTTCATCCTGTCATTAACATATTTTGTGATTTTGATTTCTTATACAATTTTTCAAATAGACAATAAATTCAACTTGCAGCTTGGCGCCCCGTCGACCGGTCAATTATCATCTTATATTCGGCGCTCCATTATAGAACCACAATCATATGAATAATTACAGTTTATTTTTCGAAAAAAGACGCCAGCAAGTCGCGAGAAATGGCTTCATCCTGTCATTAACATATTTTGTGATTTCGATTTCTTATACACTTTTGCAAATAGACAATAAATTCAGAGCCTCATAACATTGTATTTTGGAGAGAATATTTACAAAATGTCTCCTCATACACTGAACACCTGCTTCATGAAAAGAAATGTGCAGCATTATCTGCTGCGATGTTTTTCTCTTTCACTCTCTCGTTTCCTTTTTAATACCGCTGGACTAATTTGTTTACCTGAACTGAACACTTTATTTAAACACGATGGGATATTCAGCAGAGCTGGTGGGGTCGTGTATTTAGGAATAAAAATGCATTTAAGAATAATTTCGTAATGAGCAAGGAGAAAGAAAAAACGCGGCCCTCTCAAATGCTTCAAATGACGCTGGCGCAGAATATGACAGCCCTTAACTTCATTTATAGGTGGATAGAGCGATGGACTGTTGTGCGAGAGGTCGAGGGTTCGAGCCTCGGCCGGACCAACTCTCAATGTCTTAAATCAAGTGAGAACAATATGCTACCTTTCAAAATATCAAGAAATGTTAAGTTACTCTAGTCTTCTCGGATAGGGACGAATAAATGGAAGTCCCGTCTCCTGCAGGGTTAGGGGTAGGAGACGTTAATTTCCCATGCATGAGATTACTGTGTGATGGATGTCCTCCCCTGGTGCGAATTGGCCCTGAAAAGCCCCCATGGAGAGTGGTCAATTAACATATGTTTACATGTATGTATGTATGTATGCATATATGTATGTTTGCGACCAATCTCTAGAGATACAGGTAACAATGGTGAAAGGAACAAATGCTATTGGACGAACAAAAGAAGCCACGGAATGAGATATCTATTGTTTACGTCCATCACCATGGCGGCAATGACGTAACCTGCAAACCACCTGTCGTCACTATTTTCATCAAACCTGAAAGTGAATCAGGTGAAAACGGGAAGTCGCTCATGCCACGAAACGTTAAACATGTCCTGCATCATGTATGCTAAGTTCAAGCGTTGTCTCAAGTTCCACCTGCTTTTGGCGTTCACCGTGGCCAACCATTTCTCAGGTTAACCTTTTTTAATGATATACTTTAAGCATTTCAAATGTTTATTTTGGAGTAGACTTGAGTGCAACTTTGAAAGAGAAGTTATATGGACGAAATAGAAGATCATGACTAAAACACCACACGACTACATACGGGTAACATAGGAGTAACATACGAGTAACATACGCATACATATAGAATACTTCATGGAAAGTGCGCGCGTACGGTGTTTCCACACGAGTTGTGGCGTATCAGAAATCGAACAAGTGAGCGAAGCGAACGAGTGAGACTTCTAATACAAAACAACGAGTGTGTCAACACCGTACAAAGCACTTTCCATGTGGTATTATGTTTCTTATATGCATACTGAGATTGAACACCCTCCTTAAATCATGACAAGCATTATTTAAACAAATGTGGTCAAACAACAATCACTGAAAGAAAAAGCAGCTTCGTAAAAAGGGAAAGAGCTCAAATAAAATCCAAAAGTTATGAAACCAAAAGTTATGAATCCAAAAGTTACGAATCGTGGATAACGAAACGCTTTTCGCTCACGGCTTTCGCCGAGACAGGAACTTTCAAAATTAACGATGGAAGAAATGCGAATAAAAACTATTTGCAAAGCGATGGCTTGTGCGGTGTACAAAATGCGGTGTGTAAAATCCAAAAGTTATGGATCCAAAAGTTATGAATCATGGATAACGAAACGCTTTTCAGTCATGGCTTTCGCCGAGACAGGAACTTTCAATATTAACGATGGAAGAAATGCGAATAAAAACTATTTGCAAAGCGCTGGCTTGTGCGGTGTACGAAACCGCGCCAACCAGCCTTGAATGAAAACTTCAACTTTCCGTACGGCTCACACGAGGAAAAACATGATACGCGGCTCCTGATTGGACGTATCGCTTCTCTCACTTTTGGGAAAAGCGATACGCAACATTTGATTGGTTTACATCGGTTTGCGAACGAAAATTTACTCTGCGGCTTTTTAGTGTGTAAATCTCAGTATGTATATAATAAATACGAATAAATATATCTTATTAACCATGCGGGAGGGATGTACTGGGAGAATAGGGAGCTTAAGCAACCACGACGAAAGGGACGACAACGACGTCAAATAATCGCGGAGGGTCTGGAACGAGGACGTCGTTTTTAGCGGGAAAATGAAACTTAAGCAGTGAAGTTGCTCAAGGACGACGACGTCTATAATCTTGTTTATTGTCGCTTCGTCAGTTTAAGAAATGACATCGTTCAGAGACGTCCAAAACCTTTTTCTTCTCAGTCATGGATCAAATTTCCACCTATATTTCGAAAGTTCGAGAGTATGTTATTCAATTCTTGAACATCAACAGTCCAAGGAATTATAAAGCTTTAGCTCTATTTATAATAATTTACACATGGCAAAAGTTTAAAATATTAAATTTTCGGCAAGTTACTTGAGATTTAAATTCAGTTCTAAGTGTTGCTGATATAAACAAACCTATTTTGCACAAGATTTGCCTGATTTTCAACATGCTTTAGCCTAATATGTTCTACCTCTTATGCTCCTTCCTTTGGCGAGCAAACGACGGAAGTCTGTCAATTTAATCAATGCTAGCTAGCGATCGGCACAGATAGCAGTCGTCGCGCTTCACACAAGAATACTATTTTTTCCTGTGTGATCTTTTCGGAATAATTTTTATGGCTGTAAATCTATATCAAACATTTTGAAAATAGATTCGGAAAACCTGACTGGCATTCAAGCTCATGTTAACACACCGATCTGAAGAATTCTTTGTTGTTTTAAAGCGTCTCGATCGAAGAACAGAAACACGCAAAATGTTTTAGTAGCAATAATCCAGCAGTTCCATACACAGCTTGGTGTATTGCACTGCCATTTAAAACTTTTCATTCAATAAAAATGATAAACAGCACTCTTTCATAAAATATATTCAAATAAACTTAAATCTTACGTGGTCGCTTTCACCGCTTGGCTTGACATCAGTTGTGCGGAGGAAGGAATATGAGTTAGTAAGTTTTCGAATTTTATTTGTTTAGAAAACTGAATAAGGAGGTTTAAATCAACCGAAGAAGTGAATACAAACTCCAACCGGCCATAGACTGTCAAAAAACTGACAATAAACCCGCACCTTTTGATGAGAAATACTGCTTTGAAGTTCGGAAGTTCACGACGACGTGAAACAGTTCCTTCTCAAGTCGTCGACGTCAAGACGACGACGGAATTCTAGGTTTGCGTTTGCGCAGTGACGTTCTTGCTACTTCCGGTCGTCGTCCTCCGTTCGTCGTCGTGGTTGCTTAAGCTCCCTAATATTGGCCCGAGGTCTTGACAGTACATAGCACTTTCCACTTTCCATACATAACAGTAGATAACAGGACATAACAGTAACATAGAAATCATAGGCATTGGGCAATAGTGGGCATATCATACTTCGAAAGGCACATTACATTTACTGTGTTTATACATGTTATTTTCTCTCTATAGTCTTCTGTTGTAGAACACCACAGTTGGGAAATCAAAGTAAAATTTAAAGGTGTCTTTGTTGACTAGCAGAAGAATAATTGTCTTTGGTGAAATTTCATCGTTAGAAAGTACTGGGTTTAAGAAATTAGAAAGGATATGTCTGATTAATACTTCCAAACATACGGATACATACGACTAACATCCGGACACATAAGAATAATTGTCTTTTGTGGTATTTCATCTTTAGGAAGTACTGGGTTTAAGAAATTAGAAAGGAAACAGGCAACATTATGTCTGATTAATACTGCCAAACATACGGATACATACGACTAACATACGGATGCATAAGAATAATTGTCTTTCGTGATATTTCATCTTTAGAAAGTACTGGGTTTAAGAAATTAGAAAGGAAACAGGCAACACTATGTCTGATTAGTACTGCCAAACATAAGGATACATACGACTAACATACGGATACATAAGAATAATTGTCTTTCGTGATAATTCATCTTTAGAAAGTACTGGGCTTAAGAAATTAGAAAGGAAACAGGCAACACTATGTCTGATTAATACTGCCAAACATAAGGATACATACGACTAACATACGGATACATAAGAATAATTGTCTTTCGTGATATTTCATCTTTAGAAAGTACTGGGTTCAAGAAATTAGAAAGGAAACAGGCAACATTATGTCTGATTAATACTGCCAAACATACGGATACATACGACTAACATACGGATGCATAAGAATAATTGTCTTTCGTGATATTTCATCTTTAGAAAGTACTGGGTTTAAGAAATTAGAAAGGAAACAGGCAACACTATGTCTGATTAGTACTGCCAAACATAAGGATACATACGACTAACATACGGATACATAAGAATAATTGTCTTTCGTGATAATTCATCTTTAGAAAGTACTGGGCTTAAGAAATTAGAAAGGAAACAGGCAACACTATGTCTGATTAATACTGCCAAACATAAGGATACATACGACTAACATACGGATACATAAGAATAATTGTCTTTCGTGATATTTCATCTTTAGAAAGTACTGGGTTTAAGAAATTAGAAAGGAAACAGGCAACACTATGTGTGATTAATACTGCCAAACATACGGATACGTACGACTAACATACGGATACATACGAATACATACGAGTAATACGAATGTTTTTCTTATAAAGGAAGCTCTAATTATAAGCCTTGCAAGCATTTTTCACTTCAGCAAACATGTACCCGGTTCAGTGCATACATTTCTATTGCGAGCATCAACACTCCTTAATTGAAGGTTAAACGTTCAGTCCTGCGTATTCTTATTATTTCCTCTTTTGGCACAGGACGTCTGAAACAGGCAAACTACGACTGTAACTGCCAACGGTAACAAAACACTACTTATTCTAGCTCTTACTCAATATTTCAGTTATATATTAATATTTCAATATTTAGATTAAGAGAGTGAAATGAAACCTGAAATCGACATAAAAATAGTAAATAACCTTGGAAAGTGAGTTCAAGGCGATTTTCCGATATTAAAGTACCCGAAAATAGACACAGTCGGCTAACACGTCACGTGGTTAGAATTGGGTGTTTACATCACAAAGCATTAGAAAATGGCGTCGCGATCTTGCTTCTGTTGCAAGGATCATGATGGATCATAAAACTTTTTGTGAATTCCAATTGGCTGCACATGAAGTATGGGCAAATGTATGAAGTACATAACAGTAACATAGAAATCATAGGCATCTGGCAATAGTGGGCAAATCATACTGTCAAAGGCACATTACATTTCCTGTGTTTATACATATTATTTTCTCTCTATAGTCTTCTGTTGTAGAACACCACAGTTGGGAAATCAAAGTAAAATTTAAGGGTGTCTTTGTTGACTAGCAGAAGAATAATTGTCTTTCGTGATATTTCATCTTTAGAAAGTACTGGGTTCAAGAAATTAGAAAGGAAACAGGCAACACTATGTCTGATTAATACTGCCAAACATAGAAACTGGAATGACAGAGTGGAAAATTCTGAATCTTCCACCTTTACCTATAGCTCTTTCAACATGAATGTGATGCCATGTTATTGTCTGGGTCTTGATTACATCACCCTCTTCAAATCCCGTTTTGTCCTTCAAGAAGGGAGGAATATTCAATTTCAATTTCAGTTTTGCAAGGTCATCACCAATGTCAAAACCTTTGTCTGCCATGATGGCATCTCCTCCTTTTAGTTCTCCACATTGTACTCTCTGTTTCACAGTTTCCAGAAACCCTGATCTCTGCACTATTTGTTTGTCAGAAATGGAACCCTCAAATAATTGAGACAGAAACATAATGCCCCCATTAGGATCCACTCTTATAGGAGACTTAAAAGTTGTGTGGGGTTTGTAAGTACTGTAACTCTCAGTGTGCTTTTGTAATGAACTAGGGACTTGGATTTTCAGTTCAGTCGCATCAACAATCACAATAGTGTTAGGATATTTCTTGATAAATTCCTCTAGACAATGTTTTAAAATTATATCTGCTATATCAGGCATGCCGGCCCGCTGTATCTGTCACATATGCGCACGCATGCCATATGCGTACCTTGAAGATTTGAGAACCGCCATGTTGAAAGTATAGACGTTAAGTTTGTATTGAGTTGTAGTTTTTTGTCTGACTTAAATCCATGAAACACAACAATATCTCTATGTGGGCATATTTTTAGGCTGCCAATTACATTGTACACAAAATTAACCCAAGTAAGATTAATAATATTTACAGTACTCTCGGATACACAAAACCTCTCTGCTAAAAAATGTTGGATAGTCCCATCCTTAGCTTCATCAGTAACAACAACAACAACAACATTTTTATTCACACTATTCTGATAGAAGAAAAAGAGTAAGGAAAAAAACAAGTATAGAAAACAAATAATAGAAGATATATCATAATATATACAATTTTTTAATTACTATACAACAGCCAAAGTAGCGAAGCTTTCGAGTTGGCTTGGCTAACATGAGAAACTCATCCTCCACTGAAGGCTTGCGTGCAGTGGGTCTTGTCATTGTTGATTCCCTTTTAATGCAATCATTCTCTCCTTCAATTTCACCTTCCTCGAACAGTTTTTCAATGTCTATCACACTTGATTTTCCAGCTTCGCTATCCCAGTAAATGAAATTTTTTCGGTCAAGATTGGGCAATAGAAATTAGTAGTATAGTGAATGGGGGTTCTGGCGATTTTGCGATTTTGTGTTCAAGTTTTTGATTCATCAAAACTCAATATGGCGGATAAAAAATCTCACAAAAATCGAAAAACACTGAAAGAAAATTCACGTATAGAAAATATGGAAAATAAAAATCGAAAAACACTTAAAGAAAATTCACGTATAGAAAAATAATAAGGAAAATAAAAATCGAAAAACACTTAAAGAAATTCCACGTATAGAAAATATGGAAAACAAAAATCGAAAAACTCTTAAAGAAAATTCATGTATAGAAAATGTGGAAGAAATTTTATATAATATATATACAGATATGAATAAAAACGAATAACAGAATCTGACAAAAGACCAGCTCATTGATATAATGAATTTGATACCTGCTCCAAAATATCAACCTAAACCAACACCAAGGAAAATTGAATTCACTCCATCATTCAATAATGTTAATCGATGGTTCAAGCTTATGAAGAAAACATTATTGAAACACCTCTAGAGTTTCAAGATGATTATAAACCAGTGCTTAAACCAAGAATAAAAAAGCCTGTTCCTCTACTGAGACAAATAAGGCTTTAAAAGGCTTCACTAAATCATATGAAATACGCATAAAAAAATGACAAAGATCCATTGATTCAAATGCAGAGCACAAGATTGGCTACTGGTCAATATATTAAAAAGATATTGAATAAAATGAAAGGTCTCAAATTCACAGAGACATTAAAGATCACCTTTGAGAAGCATAAAGCTGACGAAGTTCGAACAAAAACAGCACATTTTAATAGGGCACCTAAGACAATAAGAAATGAAACAGAAATAGCAGACTCTTTACAAACAACAAAGCAACACATATCATATCAAATTGCACAATGGATCTGGCTGGCGTATCCGATCAGTTGATAATCACTACATAAATACTGTTATATATAATCCGACCAAAGGTTCTTCTTATATTCAACTTCCACCAGAATTGAGGAATGGTAAAAAAGGTTTGATCAATCTGAAAAATACAGATAATCGGAATGTTTTTGTTGGTGTCATATCAGACACTTAAGAGAGTGTCTCTGTAAAAGCGGTCCGGTCGATTTGCTCGAGACACAGATTTCCCTCATTTCTTGTGTGTTGTAAGACATTCATGTGCCTATACTAAAACCACAATCCGTTTGATCGGATCTTTTTATTTTTCAAAGTTTTACGGAAATGAAATTTCACTCGAGCGATGGCCTGTCGTGACACTTTTCAAGACTTTAATTTGAGACAACTTTGGAGGACAATTTAAGAAAAACTACGGAACTCAGCAAAAAACAAATACCACAGCCATGTATATTAATTCTATCTTATCCATCAAGGCGACTTTCGTGAACATCACATTTCAATCAGAAACAGGAAGACTTGAATGACACCTCATCGATTTGCTTAAGCCACACACGCGAAAACCAATAAAATTTAAGGTAAATTTTTGAAAAAGTGAGGCGTTCTTAACTGATCCAACTAACATAGCTAGGAAGAACACGCTACAGAAAAGGTAACTACAGAAAAAAACTTTGCGGCACGACCTTTGGGAAAACTTTATAACTTCACGAACTTACCTGATTTTTGGCAATCTCCGAGTTTGGCCGCCATTTTGAAGGACTTGTCAACATGAAGCTTAACAGATATAAACCAAGCAGGTAGATCTAAAACCGTCTGAAATACATACGGAAGCAATTTAAATGAACTTTTCTTTCAATTCAAGCTGTAAAATTTGCAATTGTTTGTTAAACTTACCATTCCTACATTTCCAAGCGCCCGTTTCTTCCAACAATTCAAACACTTCAACTAGTGTTCGAATTCCCCTCGTCGATTCCACCATAAGAAATAACCTGTATCACCCAAGCTTCGACTCTAATGCGAATTACGAATCACGTAATACAACTGCTTCATCTTCGAGGCAATATCAGCCTAGTTTTTTTATTTTCTGATCGACGAGAACGGCGATCACGAAGCGATTGCCATGTTTACCTAATAAACGAACCGCTGACCAGCCGCTAAGTGAAATCAGTACGGCTCAGTGGTGAGGGGGAGGGTGTGGGGTGGGTGCGGGTAGATTATCAGAAGATTTTTGGGAACATTCGAATATATTCATTAAAGCATCATAATATACATTACGATTCTCAGTCTTTGTGCAAAAGCATGCTTTGTGTTGCAGATCTAGACAACTTTTGTTTTGCTCCGGGTATTCTTTTTCTCTTTAAATACATTTCGTTTCAAAAAGGATCGGCATCAGTTCATATATTTATAAACAAATCTTTACCATGTACTGTAAATAAATGTGTTCAGATAATCGAGATAACAATTGAA